CAGAGCAGGGAGCCCGATGTGGGGCTCGATCCCAGGACCCTGGGATCATGACCTGAGCCGAAGGCAGACGCTTAACAACTGAGCCACCCAGGTGCCCTTATTATCATTTAATATATGTATCATTCTATGTATTTCTTAATTTCTTTTATAATTTCCTGTATAATTAAGTTAAATCATAATAGTTGGTTTATAACACAGGTTTTTAGGTCTCTTTTGACTTACTATTTGCATTTTTTTTCTATTTATACACTTTTTTTTATTTTATCAGAGATTAGTGTAAGATCTTTTAACATGTTCCATGAATATGCAAAAGGGTGCATATTATCAAGTGTAGAATTCTAAATAAAAATAAAATCTTAATGCTATATTGCTATTCAGATCTTTACCCTTCTCCAATTACTTTTCTTTTTCTTCCTTATCCACTAGTTTCTGAGGACGTTGTGTTAAAAATTTCAAACGATTTCAAAGTTCTGGGGTGCCTGGGTGGCTCAGTCAGTTAAGCCTCTGCCTTCGGCTTAGGTCATGATCTCAGGGTCCTGGGATCGAGCCGTGCATTGGACTTCCTGCTCAGCAAAGAGTCTGCTTCTCCCTCTCCCTCTGCCCCTCACCCCCGCGCTTGTGCTCTCTCACGCTCCACTTTTTCTCTCTCTCAAATGAATGAATAAAATCTTTAAAAAAAAAAACAAAACTATTTCAAAGTTCTTAGTCTGTCTATATTTCCCTGGAGCTTTGTTGATGCTTCATATATATATAATAATGTTGTTTGCATTTCTTTTTAAGATGGTTTTTTTTGTTCAGTTGTTCTTTTATTGGCTTCAATTTCATTCTTTCCTGATTTTTTTTCTTTTATCTGAATGAAACAATATTACATGATACAATTAGAAACCCAACTTTGTTTCATGTTTTCCATCTTTATCCTATTTTCTAAAATTTCAGTTTTTTTCAAATTTCTGTTTATCTATCTTTTGATAACACTGTTGAAATTTTTAAAATTAATTTGAAAGACTGTTGTTTTATACCTCATGATTTTTTTTCTATATTTACATCAGTACTAGTGTATCAAAACTCACTTTGAACATTGGTTTCTGTTTCTTTGTTTTTGTTGTTGTTTCCTTTGTTTTTGTTTATTAAGTTTTCTTCTGTCTTAAGATCTATATTATTTTTCTATCAGTTACTCTCTTAATACTTATAGTCATTTTACCCACTGATTTGTTTAATCCAAACTTATATTGTGCAATAATATAGTTACTAGAATATTCTCTCATTTCACCTATAAGTATCATTCTGAAATAGTGTTAAAATTTTATTTTCTGAGTTTCTATGGACATACTTCCTTGTTTTAGAATAAGCAGTTTTTGGACAACAATACACTTTCATAAATTATTTGACTGACCTTTAATCCTATATCGTTTTTCACATCTGAATTTAATTATCTATTTTTAAAACTTCATTCAAGGGATGCCCCCTGCTTGTGCACTCATGCTCTCTCTCTCTGATAAATAAACAAACAAACTTAAAAATAAATAAAGGAGGCAATCTCGCTCTTTTTTTTTTTTTTTCCGTCTACCCTCAGCTCACCAACATGAGTGCCGATCCAGCTCTGCCCCAATGCCCGCCTGGCCCCGAAGCACCCAGTTCTAGGGACTCTTCTCCAATGCCTGAGATTTATGGGCCTGAAGAAAATGATGTGTCCCTGCAAATGTCATCTGCTGAGACACCCCACGCGGAGACCGTCTCTCCTCTTCCTGCATCCAAGGATCTGCGTGTTCAGGACAGCCCCGACTCTTCCACCAGTCCCAGGGTAAAAGTACCACCCACTTCTGGGGAGGAGAGAACAGTGAGGAAGGAAGATACTGCCCAGGGCAAGAAACAGAAGATCAGGACCGTGTTCTCTCAGGCCCAACTCTATGTCCTCAATGATCGATTTCTGAGACAGAAATACCTCAGTCTCCAACAGATGCAAGAACTTTCCAACATTCTGAACCTTAGCTATAAGCAGGTGAAGACCTGGTTCCAGAACCAGAGAATGAAATGTAAGAGGTGGCAGAAAAACCACTGGCCAAAGGAGAGCAAGAGTGTGACTCAGAACAGCACAGCAACCGCAGAATACCCAGGCTTCTATTCCTACCACCAGGGATACCAGAGGAATACTTCTGGAAACCTTCCATTATGGAGCAACCAGACCTGGAATAACCTGAATTGGAGCAACCAGACCTGGAACAGCCAGTCTTGGAGCAACCACTCCTGGAACGGCCCGTCTTGGGGCAACCATTCCTGGGCCAATCAGACCTGGTGCCCCCAAGCCTGGAACAATCAGCTCCA